AAATCAAGGGAAATTTTTGGGGGACTTCCCAACGCCCCTTCTTATTAAAGGAGGGAATATAAATTCTTCTTTGAGAAACTTTCATTTGAGAAACTCTTGAAACATCTGGCTGGCACCGGGTTGCGACTGCCAGGAGTGGGAGCAGATCTGATGGCTTCTCCAGACTCCTGAACCAGAATACCCAGCTCAGAGAAAGCAATCAGAATTTTCCTCCTTTGAACTCTATTCGAACTCACTCCCTATAAACTGGCTCACGGTTTTCTGAAATCTGTTTGTCATTGTCGACCTTGTTCCCATGTTGGACATGAAACCCCATCTGCACTGGTGGAAAGCCACAGGCCTCCCCTCATCTGCTTTTTTATTTCCCTTCTCCAACACTTGTTCTGTCCTGCGCTCAAGGATACCCCAGAACCCCCTGGGTCTTCTCTCTCCCTGAGAACACGCTTGCCCGATGGGTCACCATCATTCACTCAGCCTTCTCCTCTCTGCCCTTCTAGTGATGTGGAATCTCCAAATTTCCTTTGACCTCCAGCTGCCCTTGACGGCTCCTCCTCAGCACCCCCCACCCCATGGCGTTAGACCCTGTGTAGCCGAAGTGTGTCGCTGGGCACACATTTCATAAGTCGTCCCATTAGCCTTTGTGAGATGACAAGACGTTTTCTCCTCTTGTAGCTGGAGGTCAACATATCTATAATTGACCTTAGAATCCTTTTGGAGATCCAGGGGCTCTTCCTGGGTTTTGTTTGTTTGTTTGTTTGTTTCAGGTTTGATTGTCGATTTTCTGCTATGAAATAACTACAACTTGGCTCAACTCTGGGCTGGGTGGAGGCGATCATGGCAGGGGTGTTCATGCGCATAAATGTTGAATCCATCCCTGTAGCGTAAGGAGCAGGCAAGGGTTCTGAATTTCTTTTAAGCCTTTCTAGCATCAGGGTGTTATCTTCTTTTTCAGAGAATATTGGGCTGTACATCGTGTCTGATGCTGTAGGTGTGTGGCGACTTAGGCAAGTATTCAGGGGTGTCTTGGAAGGTTTTAAAAGTCTAGAGAGAAAAATAGTTTGGCCCCATTTTAGGGATTTTTTTTTTTTTTTTTGGTTCAAAATGCTACAGAGGATTTGTGGGAGCCAAGTTGTAAAATGTTGACGAAATCCCCGAGCAACAAATGACCCTTCTGGGAAAGTCACGGTGGAGACAGAACGACTGTTCATGCACACAGTTTAGGAGTCCTTTGGTTGAGCCATAAAATCGTTGGGCTGCAGGGGCCAAAGAACTGGGAACAGCAAGCCAAGAACAACCTTTGTAGGGAGATTGAAAACTATGCTCTGCAGGCAGGAAGATACAGAGTGGGGAATCATCAGGGTGGAGTGGGCTGTTGAGAAGATGATCAGTTTGTTTAATCCTCTAATTAAACAGCTGGAAAACGTCTGTGGGTGTTGGTAAATGTCCAACTGAGAGAGAAAAGAATCTAAGTGCTATTGGATAATTGTGAAGTGTGGTCATTGCAGTGTTCGTTTTATATCATCCTTACTAGGATATGATATGGCTGTGAGTGGAAATTAGGGGTGAATGGATGAATCTTCCCATGCTTTTGTGGTAGAACATGCCTTAGTGAGTGGATTACGTACTGTATTGCAGCCTCTCTCAGTTACCCAGGCTGCAAAATGACTTACATCTGCCAACACACTAATAAACAGGCACATGCAGTGGCTCTGGTCTTAAGCTTGGCTGTACGCTGGAATCACCCAAGGAGCAGTTAAAAAAAAAAATACTGATACCTGAGGCTTAGTCTCAGGGATTCTGACTTAATTGGTCTGGAGTGTGGCCTGGGTGTTGGGATTTTAAAAGCTTTTCCAGATGATTCCCATATGCAGTAAAGTCTGAGCACTCCTGTATGTTTTTTTTTTCCCCTTACTACTTTAAATATTTCTCCAACAAGTTTGCTCTTTAAGTTTGGATTAATTGGCCTTCATTGAGGGTTTCTACTGAGCAGTGTGTTTACGTTACCAGCTCAACCAAAGAACATTGCAATGTTCCAGCATATTCTTCAGCTGTATATGTCTCTCATGTACTAAAGTAGGTATGGATATG